AAAAAAAAAGGGAGAAGCATCGTGCTTAATTTCAGTATTAATTTAGCAATGCTTTGGGGAGTTTGGAAAGTGTTAATGAAAATTTTGAAGGGATTACCTGGTAATGAGGTGTAAAAATTTTACAACTCTAATACCAAATACATGCTCTGCCTATGTTAGAGAGGAACATGAGAGACTGAAGTAGAAATAATTAGAAAAGCTTGCCTCCTTCTAGTATTTTTCATTTTACAACACAACTTGAATACTGAGATGAAGCATGACTATTTTCTTTTTTAATTTTTATATTCATGACATTCTAATACTGCAGATAAATTTGTACTTTTCAGTCACATATTAAACATAGTTCAGTAATCTATAATTGCAATATATTTATATAAATTGACTTCGTAGTGAACACCTGAAATATTTCAAACTTATGTCTAGGTTTTGGAAGAAGATTAACACGTGATGATTCCAAACAGAATATTTTTTTTTTTCTGTAGATCCTAAGAATTAACCAAGTCATTTCTGTTAAGAGATGCTCTCTTAGAAATTCTAGAAGTTTGCCAGCTCACTGAGGTTCTTGACAGCTTTTCAGGTTGCATTTAATTCCATTCCTAACAAGCAAATAACAACAGGAATAAGCAATTCTAGCCAACAAAAGAATCCCAAACGCTGAAAGGGAGTGACCTACTTGTGCCTAAGCTGCAGCAGTTTATGGGGAAGTCCTCTGGTCACACATATTGTTAAAAAGAAATCCTATCAGGAATGTAATAACTATGGCTGGGGTTCATGAGGGCTGGTTTCTTATCAAGTCGCATGACTTGACACTTCCAGCACAGTGAGACATTTGGGTATGGATTTCTTGAGATTCACTTAACAATATCAGCAGTGGGAAAAGGTACCAAGGAACGCTCTGAAGATGGGAAGGCACTGGAGTGAGTTCTGCAAGGTACAGAAAGCAATTTTGTGTATAAATACAAGGAGGATACAGGACAAAACCCATCTTACCTGGATGGTGGTAGTTAGTCCATATGTAAACACAGTGAGCAGATATGCTTATGAGGCAAAGAGCTAAAAATGTGCTATGAATCATGTCATCTTTTTTTTGGAGAGGCCAAGAGCAGAAATGCTTGTCCTCCTGCACAGCTTCTGGTTCCTACGTGGCACGTGGGCGATGGGAACTCGCACAGCCGATGTGAAGACTACTGTCCTCTCTGGTCAGCGTCAAATGCACCTGATAAGTACAAACGTGTGCCTTCACCAGCATTCCCACAGATGTGTGTGCTCATGGGAGACTCCTGAAATGTGTACAAACCCTTCTCCTTGCATGTATCCCAACAAGGTGTCACAGCTTCTCGTTTTTTTTTTTTCTTTTCTTTCCAGGGACACATTGATAGTCACATGTACCAACAGTGCCACAAGTATATTTGCAGGCTTTGTCATCTTCTCAGTTATTGGCTTCATGGCAAATGAACTCAAAGTGAATATTGAAGCTGTGGCAGACCAAGGTAGGGTACACTGGCATATTGTTACTTGGGCAGGCCCCCAGTGGCACCTTCAGCTCTGTTATTAATGATGGCATTGATACTGAGGGAGGGAATTATGGCTTCAGACTGGTGTGGATTAATAAACCACATGCAGGCATTTCTGTACACTGGGAAGTCAAAATCTTCCTCGAAACCTGTTTATCACATGTTTGGTAAGAGAAGGAGGGAAGCTGAGACTCATTTCAAATCTTTGTGTACATGACTGATGGAGGGTAACGTGGGATGGTCCCTTCTGACAGTGTGAGGGATTATTGGCCTTTTCATTTGTCTCTGCTGTTGTTTGCCAAATCCTCTTCAAGGTAAAAGTTGTTTCTCGTGGTGGGAATTTTGGATGGGAGGGGGGTGGCCTTTGTGGTGTAGAAGGTTGGAGAAATATGGCATGAAAGGTGGACTGAGCTTCTGAACTGTGGCAAGCAAGGAGATGCCTCCATGGGGAAGTAAAGAAGAACTGATTAGATCTTCATTAGTGAAGTGAGATGGTTACAAGCAGGGATCTGAAAGGTCCTAATTACCAGAGCTGAACACCACTATGCCAACTAAACCCCAGCTCCAAGTGCCGGTTGTTCCTTGAACACTTCCAGGGATGGTGACCTCATCATCTCCCTGGGCAGCCCCTCCCAGTGTTTCACAACAACCCCTTCAGGGAAAAAAAATTCTTCCTGATGTCCAGCCCTGAGCCTCCCCTGGCACAGCTGAGGCTGTGTTCTCTCATCCTGTCACTGCTTGCCCAGGAGAAGAGGAAGGGAAGAGTTTTTGGGCTGAGAGCCAGAGAAGTTATAATCCTACCAAATTCTGACAATCATTTTAGAGGGATGGCATAGAGGGATACAGAGTCTGAGAGGAGAATTTCAGAGTGTGGTCAGCTGATAAACTGTTTCTTGACAGCAAGTAATAGGGGATACTGAGCTTGCTGGCAAATGTAATGTCAGTTCAGTGTTCAGTGCCTCATCTCTTCTTTTTGGTCTGCCAGTCACTAAGTGGCAACAGAAAAGTTTCATTTTTTCCCCCAGTTTTCTGGACAGATTAGACCACTATGTTTAAAAAACTCCATGTGAGGCCAGGTGTTTTTAGGAGTGATTAGTTCACGTTAGTATTTTTATTTTAGACTTTACCTCCATTCTGGAACAAACAAAACAAACCCCAAAAGCTAAATAAACCACGCTGCACTCACCAGAGTTATTTGTAAGGGATTAAAGAAGCTGTGCCTGAGTGGAGCTACAGTGGAAGCTCCAAAGAGATGGGCAGAGGTGGGATGGAGACACAGAACTAGTGGTGGAGGAAACACTTGGTTCAGCTGGTTCATGCATCTCCCTGGAGATGGTGTAAGATTTTAAGTTCTAAAGTTGGTTTGGGGTTTTTTTTTGTTTGTTTTTGTTTTGTTTTGTTTGTTGGTTTGTTTGTTTGTTTTCAGTGAAAGAGAAAAAAAGCCAAAATGATGGTGAAACATTATCTCCCTTCAAATTTTCAAAACCTTGAATGAAAATGTTAATGGAAACAGGAAGAGTTTTTTCCTTTTTTTTCCTCCTAAAATATTAATCAAAAAAAATAGCATTT